TGTGTGTGTGTGTGTGTGTGTGTGTGTGAGAGAGAGAGAGAGAGAGAGAGAGAGAGAGAGAGAGAGAGAGAGAGAGAGAGAGAGAACCAATTTGATGAGGTTCCTCTTTTGATATACCCACCATTACAGGTACCTGTTAGGAAGGAGACCTCTTTCAGAAACAATAAGAAATGGCCTGGTGACTGATCCATCACCATGATCCCTCATACAGTTTAGACTCACAGTGATAAACAAAGCTTATCCAGTTCTCTTGTGATTAACAAGCCTTTACTGTCTTCTCTATGTAGAAGACATTGCTTCCTAATAGTTTAATCTCTGATCCTACTTCCTCACTCTGACTTAGTTTTCATTTGTACCATTTATTTTTTCAACTGGAGATATATGAGCTCTTCTCTCCATAGAACTAATGATTCAGTATCACACACACACTTTTTTTGTGCAGCAATGCCATTAATTCTCTTCAGACAGGAAAAAGAAAGCTGTGTGCATGTTCAGCAAAGTGAAAGTTATGTGTACTTTACAAAGCTAGGTAAATTTCTTTTGAAGCATCTCCTTTTAAATTTGTACGTATCTGGGCCAAAATATACTGAGTACTATGTACCTCGGTGCTACTTCATGGTGAGTGAGTTTTGCCTGGGACTGCCATTTGTCACCCTTAGCCAGTGTTGTAAAGGTCTGTTTTTTGTGCTTACCTGCAGACTCGCATTTTCTGGTTCTTTTTCTCCTTTGGGAGATTTTTTGTTTTTGTTTTCATGAACCGTCCATGCTATAATGACATGTCTAGCATGACATAAGCTAGATGTCCACACACGCAGGACATTATCAAAATGTGCATTGTGGCTTTTTTTTCACTGATCTGTGTCTCCGTGCATTCCCTGGTGATCAGGGGCCTGTGGGTTTTTTTCACACGCTATTTCAATTGGCCTTTCGCACTTCTGGCCAGGGTACAGGCTTGAGGCTTTTCAAGATCTACATGACAGATGCAAAGAGCAGGATGGGTAGAATGATTCTGGGAGAAGGAAAAGAGGAAGCCGCAGCTCTGCTGCAGAAACTCAGCCTGCCTTGGGGTGTGGCATTCTCTTGGCTCCTTTTTCCAAATGTGCTTGTTTTAGTATTGCCCTTGCAGCAAAAGAAGTAGAGCTTTCATGCATTTTTTAAAAATCTCTGGTGTTGAATACAGTGTTCAAATTTAAAAATATAAACCCTATTTCCGTTAACTAACTAGTTTAACAACTTACCACTACAGAAAGCTTAAGAAACTAGTTTTTGCCAGGCGGTGGTGGCGCACGCCTTTCATCCCAGTACTCGGGAGGCAGAGGCAGGTGGATTTCTGTGAGTTGGAGGCTAGCCTGGTCTACAGAGTCAGTTCCAGGACAGCCAGGGCTTTTACACAGAGAAACCCTGTCTCAAAAAATAAAAAATAAAAAATGATAAAGAATTTTATTTTATTTTATTTTTGCCATTTCATACATAAATACAATGCATTGTGGGCATATCCAGCCACCACCACCACCAATTACCCTCTCAGAGTAGCTGATGAAGCATTTTGTTCTAAACACTTAAAAAGAGATGCCAGAAAGAAGTGATACTGTTTGTATTTAATAGTGTATCTCTTTGTCATATTCAGCATTACATTCTCAAATTTGACAGAATAAGCTTCTTAAAGTAACAGTTTCTTCTTGACTGAGTAAATGCATTCATCATTTCCTTTAATAAAAAAACCTCTTGTGGTAAGTCCTGGTCCATGTTATTCTCTTAATATTAACAACTAAGAACAGTGTGACATTTACACTAAGAAAAAATACATTTGGTATTTGCAAAGTTCTCTATTTATTAGAACATTGTGCTATATAAAGTTTGATTTTCTATGGATGCTTTCTTTCACAGGTTTCAAGGGACTGATATCATGTCTTAAAGGAGTTGGGCTAGTGTGTATGGCTTGGAGTCCAGGAGAATTTATGTTAAGTCTATGGTTGAGCTTTCAAAATGGCTACTCTTTCGAATGTAGTGCTTTTCTGGATTAAGAGTCCTCTTTGAATATATGTGAAAACTTATTTTAAACATCAAAAGTTACAAAGATTTCCTGAAAAACGTGTAAGGAAACCCTTAAATTATGAGATCAATGGCATTTGCATGCCTGATTATAGACCACAAAGAAATTGGTTTCATCAAAGTGTAGTGCTGCACTCATTTAAAAGTAATTTCAGAGTTTTCAAGTTATTTTATCATATCCCAAAGAATAAGCTCTGGAGAGTAAAACATCACCCTAAAGCACATATAAATTACTGTGTCTCGAAATCTATTATAATCTATAATTACTTGAGAAAATGAGCACATACCCTTAACACCAGCACTCAGGAGCCAAGGCAGAGCTCTTTGAGTTCAGGCCAGCCTGGTCTATGTAGTTAGTTCTTGGCCAGGCAAGGCTACATAATGAGACCTATTTCAGAAAAAAAAAATTAAGATTCACGTGTCCTAAATAGTTGTACAAAAAAAATATTTTGTAACCTATTCCTATTTTTTTAACTATAGAAGAACCCATCTAGACCAATACCCAAATCCAGTATTAAGTTTCAAATGTCCTTTGGGAAATATTAAATAGTATGTAAGGTACGAATTAAACTTTAAAAATATTTATTTTGTAGAGTTAAGGGTTGTGGGTAAATGAAATCCCAGGATATACAAGGCCAGGATTCCAACCCAACACTGAAAAATAATAATAAAAAGAAAACATTAGCTTTTGGTTAATTTTACAAAAAGACTATTATAGTGAGACATGCCAAGAAACTTCTCATACCTTGAGCAGTAGCAACAACAAGGATTAATATTCTCTCTCTTTTATCGCAGATATCAGTCATCAAGTTAAATTTTCCATTTGAGGGTAAACCTCTGTTTTTATTAGCACCCATGAGGAGCTGTTCCTAGAAGAATAATTTCAGTTTATTCAATTCTTTTGTCTTTCTGTTTACCTCTTTGTTGAAGGACACATGGCCTTATGGAGAGAAAAAAAGTAGGCAAATTTTAAGCAGGCTTTCATTGCTAGGCCCATCCTTAGAGCTTCAAGAATTCGAGGCCATGAACCTTCAAAAGCCATGACATGACATTCAGAGTTATCAAGTAAGAGATCCCCCACCCCCACCCCAAATCTGGGATTTCCCCATAACTAGCCACCAACAATTCTGTTTAGTTTTAACTAGAGATTCAGAATCACAGATCCAAGGAGGCGTCGACTGGCCTGTTCACTCAGCAGAACAGGGGACAGGAAACAGGCAGAACAGTGACACTGTGTACCTTTCCCTCACAGTAGGGCAGGTGGTTCTCTGGCTCTCAGTTGGCAGTGTGGCTTATGAGACTGAGTGAAGCTGAAAGTTTCTCCTGTCCCACTTGGCCCTGTGGTCCTGCAGCCGCTTACAAAATAATAACTCCAAAGTTTAATATTAATTGCAAATTCTATGGCCTATTGGCTCAAGCTTCTTGCTAGCTAGCCCTTACAACTTAACTCATAACTATTCATCTATGTATCCCCACGTGTTCTGTGGCTTTAACTGCATCCATTACATGTTGCTCCTTGGACAGCAGTTTGGCGCCTTCCTTTACTCTCCTTTCTTCATGATCTCTCGTGGATTTTCCTGCCTGGCTCCATCCTGCCCTGCCATAGGCCAATGCAGCTTTATATATCAACCAATCAGAGCAACACATATTCACAGCATACAGAAAGACATCCCGCAGCAACTGAGTATCGGCGTCATGGGTGCAGGATCACCCCTGCTATGGAGCCCCCATCTCAGGAGAAGGCACTGTTTGTGAAAGAACTCTGTGATCAGGGTTTGCAGCGTTTCCTCAGAGGACACACTCCATGATAGGACTCCCTGCATGTAGGGAAGCCCAAGCCTGTGGCTTCGCTCTCAATCTTCTGAGTTGGAACACAGTACCCCTGAGTCAGGGGCCGCTCAGTGGCCAGGAGGCACCTCTTCCCACAAGTCCTTCTGCCTTTGTGATTGTTCGGAGAACACAACAACAGTTCACACACACTCAAACCCATTACACCTCCGAGATTTCCCACGTCCAGCGCTCTTGTGAAATAAACGGTGCTTTCTCCGGCCATTTGAGCTTCTCCTAGAATTGTTGGGGTCACAAAACCCCCCACACAGATATGTATTCCCCTGTGAAACTCAGAAACACGAGATTATGAGAGTGGTGACCGTCAGGGAAAGGGTTCTGTGAATGCTTAAAAACAAATGTCCAGAGGTCTTTAATATGGCTAGTTATTTTTTATTAGTAAATAGTTTAGAGTCAAGCTGACTTGCCCTTTCAGAAGGATTTGGAGGCCAGAGCAAGAGGACCCTGAGTTCAAGGCCAGCCTCAGGTACGAGAAAGCGAGAGCTTGTTCTTTAACAAGCTGGCATTCTCCCTGCGGAGGGCCGAGGACTGTCTGGGATAATGGGTTGTCTGTCGGGCGTGCGTGCGTGCGTGCGTGCGTGCGTGCGTGCGTGCGTGCGTGCGTTGCATGCATGCATGACTCCCGTCTCCTCCCCAGGTGTGCATCGAGACCTACACCTGCAGCTGTCACCAGCGCAGCATCAACACGGCTGTGCGCGCCACTCTCAGTCAGATGTTGAGCGACTTGACTTTGCAGTTACGGCAGAGGCAGGAGAACACGGTGAGCTCATCGCGTCGCATGTCTGGCGCGGGTTGGGTGATGACACCATGTATGTTACGGCGTGTTATATGTCCCAGGCCTGGGCCTGTACCACCATGGCTACTGTCCACTGAAAACACTGGGCAGTACTTTTTACTGGGACGTTTATTTATATAAATTTAGCTATATAGAAATTTGCCCATTTTGCCCCCAAAATATGAAGTGCTCTTCCTCACGGTTTTGTGTAATAAACTACAATAAAATTTTGATCACTGTTTTAAGTTTTTACTTTTTTTTTCCTTAAAATCAGTTTTTAAGAACTTTTCCCATTAAATATTTTTGTGAAAAATATTATATAGGTGACTGGAGAGATGGCCCAGCGGTTAGGAACACTGGCTGCTCTTCTAGAGGACCCGGGTTCGATTCTGAACACTCACATGGCAGCTCACAACTGTCTGCAACTCCAGTTCCAAGGGATCCAATCAGTGGCTTCTTCTGGCCTCCTCGGTCACCAGGCACACATGTGGTGCACAGATAGACAGGCAGGCAAAACACCCATACACATGAAACAATTTTTAAAACTTTAAAGCATATTATGGCAGTTAACTTGTAAAATGAAGCGGGGCAGGGAAGTAGCAGTTGACTGCATGCTATGAGCTTGGATGCAATTTCCTGGATTAACTAAAGTGACAGCAGGATGTCCCCCCACCTGCCGGGGCCAGCAGTATAAAGCTAAGTATCTGGTGACCTCAAAGGCCACTAGAGCTTTCTGCTCAAAACCTGCACAGATTGTCTAACACGAGCCTCCAGGGGATGGAAAGTCACCTTTTGGTGTGTGTTTTCTTCTAGGGATGTCAATAAGAGACACAGCTTCAAAACTAATGCTTTGCTCCGACTTTAAAATCGGCCTCTGTAATGATAACTCATTAAAATTCCCATAAAACCCAATGTGATGAAGCTCATTATTGTTCGGGGTAGACAATCTCAGTTGGGGTTGGAGATATCCACAGACAGAGATGGGTTTTCAGCTGTTCAATTTCAAATATTTCTCCTTTTTTTTTTTTTACTTCAATTGTTTTCTAATTTTTGAGGAAACTATGGACTTGATGGGAACCCTACAGATAGTCAAGTCAACTTTCTGCATTCCTTATTTTACAGATGAGATGCGAAAGCCTGGAGAGAGATAATTGAGCTATAAAGTTAATGAGCTATCCTTGAAGGAAGCAAAGTTAAGCCCTGGTCTCTGACTCCCAGGCCACATTTTCCATCCACATGTGCTCTGGCCGCCAGTGCAGACAAGGAGCAATAATTTGGAAAAACAAATATTGATTTTATTTTTGGCTTTTGTATTTGCTATACCCAAAGCCCAAATTTCTAATAAACTAAGATATCAGTTACTTTAGATAACCCCTTGTTGGAAGTGATCTCATTTATCCTGTGATTTTGGATATGATGGGTATAGGAATGTTGGCTCAAAAGAATCTATAAATGGAAAACATATTAGGAAAAAAGGAATTCCAGATGCTAAAATTTCTAAAATAATGTCATATTTTGTCCTTCCTAACTCGTAACACAATTGAATAGTCTACTATTAGTAATACCTAAGATTCTTAAATAAAACATTTAAATGCAATAACTTAAAGTACTCCCAATTATGTTCATTTAATCTTATTTTTGGAACTGTAACTAGAGGACAGTCATAATAATGTTTGGGGCAAAGATCAACTGTACCTGTGATGGAACATGCTATCTAGCCCAGCAGTATAGTAGGCTAAATCATTTTGGGTTTTATGCATATAATTGATGTCACACAATGACAAAAATCATTTAGCAGTGACATTCTCAGAGCATGTCCCTATCATTAAATGGTACATAACTATGTTAGGTGATAAGTCACGTGCCTCAGCCTCCTAGTGGTTAGGTCTCCCTCAGAATGGTAGCAGGGACAGCTGAGGAGGTCTGGTTGTACAGTGCAGACGCTATATGTCCCTATCCTGTGTTTTATGTGACCAGTCAGCCTGCTGGTCCTGCTCATCGCTGACCTTCTAGACTCACCCCAATCAAAGGCAAGACCCAAAATCACGTGGCAAATTGCTGTTCCCCATGGGCTTCCTTTGTATTATTCAGGCAGTCCTTTGGAGAAGGATTGCCTGTCTAAATGAAATTCTCTTTTCATTCTTACCTAAACGAAATTCTCAGGATGGTTCTTTGAAGCATTTGTGATGTCTAGCAGAGGGAACTGTCAGTTTTTCCACCTAAAAATGAGATGCTTTTTCAAAAGCGATTAAAGGGAAGTGGCTATCAGAATGATAATGTTTGCTCTAAGGAAGCTGTGCAGCCTCCCGGGGCACACTCAGGGACACCTGGGAAGAATGTGTATATTCTGCAGCATGACTCCTCCCTGGAAAGACATCCTAGGCCAACTCAGAATTAGGAAGACCTGGATATGGCAGAAAGACAATGAATAATGTGGAATGCAAAGGTATTAGCATAAAGTCCACCTTCCACATATTGTCCGCAGCCTCCCACCCCTCCCCCCAGGCCAGGTTATCAGCTCTGATTTTGTATCCTTATGAATGCTGAGTTATCATCTCGCTTTATTATTGAATTACTTATATGACCAAATCCATTGCTGACTTATAAGCTGCTGATCTTTCAAAGTGAAATTGCCACGTATAAATATCTGGTGGCTGGGCTGTCCGTATACTTCTTCGGATAATGCGCTTCTGTTGCATTCTCTTAGAAAATGTCTTAGAGACACCAATGTAACATCTCACAAAATCTGCTGTGGAAGCAGCTGAATTTGCAGATTTTGAATACAGAGCAGTACACATATGTGCCTGTAGTGAGTCTTAAAAATGCAGCACTGTGGCATGATTTACATGTCAGATAGCTAATTGGCATGAAAATGCCCTTCTTATCAAACAAATCCTGCTGTGGAAAGAGGTAGGGAGACCGAGTCACCTCCTTCCCATTCTCAGCTCTGTGGTCACTGAGTTATGCTTGCCATGAGAACATGAGCCATCTTACCTGTAAGCCTTTCACTTTCTGTTTTTCCTAGGTGGTATCTCTGCTCTAACAGTTCTGGATCTACCTAGAGACCACCAAGCCAGGCTGTTTGACAGTCACAGGTTAATCTGCTCCCCCATCAAACAGGAAGGTGGCGCTTTGAGCTCTGTTCATCTTTGAACCTGTATCCCCAAGTAGAGCAAGGATGATTCTTCTTATGGCCGTGTCTAGATCTGTTAGGACCAAGAATAGTGTGTCCCGTCACCTTGAGATGAGTTATTGTCTGTACAAAGATGAACTCACCTCTTCAGGTAGACATTGCCCAAGTTCTAGCCCAGCAATGAAAGTATACCACGGGGCTTAAAATTCCAAGAAGTGTTTGAACTCTTGAATAGTTTATTTTAGAACTGACACACTCACAGTCTTTCTGTTCAAGGTCATGAGCAGTGAAATGCTTCCAGCATGCTTGGGTATGACATCCGAACCCAGAGTCCTTAGGACGCCATTTGGTGTCCTAGAACTTTGCATTGTCTAAGAATCAGGACTTTTCTTGTCTGAATCTCCTAATGGTCTCTCTGTGTTTCCCTCACTAGATAATTGAAAACCCAGATGCCCCACAGGACTTCGGGAGTCAAGGTATTGGGTTTAGTTTTTACTAGACCTTTTTAAATGGTTGGGGTGTAAGAATACCTGCTTGGTGCCCGGAACTGAGGATGTAAAGATGGTCCAAGCTCTGCCTGGCTTCGCCTTGCTTAGTATTATCTGACCAGCTGCTGTTTTCCTTCTGTTCCTCCAGTCCCCGGTGCCAACTGTGTGAGGGAGATTAGCACTTTACACCCCTCCCATTTGGAGGCTGTCTGTTCTCCCTCCCCCCCCCCCTTCTTGTCTGTCTGTCTTGTTTTGATGCAGGTTTAATTGCTTAAATGAAAACTGAGCAGGGAGTTCTATAGAAACCTGAGTGGCACGTAATGTTATTGTTTTAGAATTATGGTTTGTTTTTTAATTCACCCACACAGCTTTGCATTGACTGTAGAAGAAATTTACTTATAATGAGAAAGAATCTTTTATTTTCTCCCTGGGTTGTCTTTTGTTTGTTTTACATTAAAAAGGAGTGGCTCTGTTCCATTCTCCTCTTTCCTATGATTGTTCTGGTACCCTAAAAGAGGCCTCATATCTGAAAATCATCAAAACCCATCGAAAGCGCGGGATGGGAAGGGCATTGAGGGAGCTTCCGATGCCCACCAGTGTCTAATTCTTGCACCTCCTCCGTTTTGAAGGCTTAACAGTAGAGGCCCTTTGTGATGATGTTGTCTCTGTCCTGGCTGTCCTGTGTGAGAAGCTACAAGCCTCCATAAAGTAAGTCCCCTTCCATCCTGGCTCATATCCAACAGTTGTTCATTTTGAGACAACTTCTATCTACAGCATCATTGAAGCTACAGAATATCCATCTGTTCAGTAGTTCCCTCCTACTGATAGTTCCCTGTCATTCCTGAGAAATATAGTCAGAGATCTCTGTCCATCCCAGGTTATTAAAGGCCATTCCGAAAGTGTATCATTGCCTGAAGTGAAAGGGGGTGGGGGAACAATACTTAGAAAGAAAAGTGAGTCCCTTGAGCCCAAAGCTGAGTAGAGAGTGGGGGAGTCAGAGCTGGAGGCTGTAAGAGTAGATCCTGACTGCCGGACCGTGGTGGCACACGCCTTTAGTCCCAACACTCCGGAGGCAGAGGCAGGGGTCTCTATGAGATCAAGGCCAGCCTGGGCTACCAAGTGAGTTCCAGGACAGGCACCAAAGCTACACAGAGAAACCCTGTCTCAAAAAAAAAAAGAGTAGGTCCTGACTTGGGCATGACTCTGCTGTGTGACTGACTGCCAATGACCTTTCTCATGGGACCTGGCTGGACTTTTGTGCTCTGTTAATGACAAGGCTGAATTTTGGAGGCTTTTTTCTAACACTCTCTATTCTGGTCTTTAGCTTTTGACTTTTGGTAGAGGGTACAAGCATGCCAAGTCTGTACTTTCTAGACAATAATTGATGTTATATATACATATTATATATCAGGTAAAATAATATTGTATGTCATATAAAATATTTCAGTGTTACTGTAGGGACAAATGTGAAAACTTCCTTAAAAGTCAACTGATGCCACTAAGATCACCAGGAACACCCCAGGCTAACAAAATTAGACTTACTAACTTGTCACAGTGAGAATGCACTCCCTGGGAAACTAAAGAGTACCCAGTAACAGTGGACTAGGAAAGACCATAATTTTAGTTTGAGTCGGGTGATTTTACAGTAAAATAAGAGTTATGTTCAAGGATTGAGTTTTGTCAGGATGTGCGGTCAGTTCTAGCATTGGGCGTCTTAATTTCCATGTAGTCTGTGAAAGAAACAGTTGGTGGCTGGGTTGTCACTAGAGAAGAAGTAGGAGCCTCTCACAGGAGGGGATTTGGTCGCCTTCACGGATACACTCTCTGTTCTTCCCTTAACCATAGTTCAAGAGCGGTTGTCCACGTGCCTCAAGCTTGCTTGATCACAGTCATGCAGAGGTCTTGTCTGTTCTTAACATCCGATGGCAATATTGATGTTCATCAGAAAGGCTCATCTGGCTGGTAGCAGTGAGGGAGCTGCCACTATAAAGAGGCATCTGCCCCATCCCCACCCTCTCTAAGCCTTGGCACTGAGCAAGGACGGCAAAGGACACCAAAACTTTGAAAGACATAGAACGATGGTGGTCATTACTGGAAAGAAATAAGTGAAACTTTTTAACAGCTTCATAAGGGAAAAATAAAACCTCAAGTTTTTTAACTGTACAGATGTCTGTTTGTAATCACGGTGATTTATAATTAAAATATAGCCATCAGGATATGTCCAAATGAGCTTGGAAATCTATAAATGGTAGAGGTAAACTGTATACTGTTCATTGGTAGACAAAAAATCTTCAGTTGGGTCCTATAAATGCCTGGCCCTAAATTTATGATTCTTTGTATGCTGGTGGCTCCTACGTGAGCCACAAAGACCTGGAAGGGGATCATATAATCTGGCTTATCCAGGACATCCAGGTTTTAATCCTGGTGTATAAACGGGCATTTATTTTTGATAGCTTTAAGGAAGTAGTAGTATGTCTGGAGTCTTATACGCTGCACTGTGACTGCCGTATAGTAGATATTTGATATGTTCTGGTTCTAAACTGGTATGTTTGCTCTGGGAATTGCTGGCACTAATTCTACTTTCTGATGGAGTTGGGAACATTGACATTTTTAATGACAAAAATTGGTCTCTAGTTTTTAAGAAAGTGCCAGGCACAAACCTACGAAACCAAAGGGCAGAAGTGCCCATCAGCCATTGACGACATTTCTTAACTCCATGATCTGAGGAGAGGCTTTAAACGGGGAAAGCAATTGCTATGGCCTAGAACTCATTCTTCTCTTGAGTCCTAGGCAGCGTTAGGCAGGCTGGCACTGTGCCTCATGGTTTTGACAGGGTGTGCTGTCATGGGTTTTTGCTGCACTGCCCCTGATCACAATCCTGCCTCTGGAATTTGATTGCTTACGGTCTCTGTACCCTAAGGGGAAGGGGTGGGCTTGCTAAAGAAGCTGGGGTGCTGCATGCTTAGAGTAGTGGAGGCACCCCATACTACTCTGTTGGCACTGTAGTATCCATCCCTTTCTTCTTAAATGTTCATGTTTGTGTGCCCTCTTCTGACTCCACTTCCTCAATTCCTTCTTTTCTATTAGCTAAATCTGATGTTTCATCTGTCTTTTAAGTAGCTCATTTTTTTTTCTCTGAAATTCCAATGGGCAGTCTTTGTCCCAATGATCATTTTCAAAATGGGACCCCAGGGACCTCCCAGGGCTTAGTCTCATAGAGACATGTGTGTGTGATACACTCCGTCTCTCCGGAGAACTCTGAAATACATTGAGGTACTCAGTATATCTCACCCACAGGCCTTGGAGATGTGCTATTAATAGCGTTCTACATTAGACAAGCTGAGCTGCATGCTCTCTCTCAGCTCAAGAGTTTTTCAGAGAATAATTGGGCTTAGAGTGGCACGAGATTCCTTCTCTGTCTGTCATCTGCCACTCTTTCCCAATCTCCCACTCCAAAGAACGTCAGACAGGAATCTGCCTGTACCAAAGAAGGCTTGGACTCCATAAAGCCAGCCAGAGTGTCCATATCAGCTGTGCTAATTCTACTCCAGCTCTTACATAATTGCTCACTTTCTTCTCTTGTTTTTCTAATTAAGTTCAAATCTGGACCAAAGGGGAGCAAACATTTGGAGGAGGAAAAAAAAAAAAAAACATTTAAAACCCAACACTGGCCAGGCAGTGGTGGCGCACGCCTTTAATCCCAGCACTCGGGAGGCAGAGCCAGGTGGATCTCTGTGAGTTCGAGGCCAGCCTGGGCTACCAAGTGAGCTCCAGGAAAGGCGCAAAGCTACGCAGAGAAACCCTGTCTTGAAAAAAAAAAAAAACCCAACACTGACAACTCCTGTGACATGCTGAAAGTACTGCTGATTATCTTCCCAGGAGGTAACCTCCCTGGCTCGGCAGCCGCTCCGCTGTATGGCCAAGCTGTCCACTGCAGAGAATTGTTCTGCTTGGCTGTGTACCTAGGAAGACCTGAGCGATGAGCAGGCAATGAGACAACCAGCCGATAATCTGCCAATTATGAAATGCTCTAACAAAAGACCAAGCGGAGTAGCTCCCAGCCCTCCTAAGGACGCAGTCTCCCCCCCCCCCCGCCCCCACCGACACCCCCATGTATTTTGGAATAGTTAGCTAGGTTCTAGGCTCCTCCCCACTCCATACATTCAAGTGTTTGCCTGTCAGTAAGTACACAAGTCCGAAAGGCTAGCACACTGTGCTCACGGTCAAAGGTCTCTAAGCGAGGAGCATGCGTGGAAGATGCTGAGATTTTCGGTGGCTCCTTTTCCTAGCATGACCCATGCAAGACCATAAATACCTGCTTTCCAGACTGCCGCAGCCCACATTTAGGCTGTTGTACTATCTCCAAGGAGACTCCAGGGCTAGTTTTCCTTGGCTATACGTTCCTGTCAGTGAGGTTGATGTCTGGGGCCTGCAGCGTTCCTCAGCAGCCTTTGCAAACTTTCACAATAACCCCGACTGCTCATCATCTCCCTCCCAGACTCATTCCTGATGGCTTCAGAAATTGAGAACCTTTACTTTCTATCTTTAGTTTTACAATCCTAGACAAACAGTTTGTGAAAGATATTTTTGCATTGGAACATTGAATCTTAAAAATGACCCCCGTTCATCATCAGAAAAATTAACCCGAGACACAGTGATCCTTTCAGAATTGAGTTTTCAATGAAGCTGGTAATTGGCAGTATGACTGCTGTTCAACCCTCTCCAGTCTATGTAAGCAAAATTTTTGCATGGGCAGAACTCCAGACACCTTAGCATAGTGTATAGGGCTCATCCTTTTCTGGTGTCTCCATCTCTCTAATTCCCATTCCTTTATTTTTTTAAAAACAAATTTCATGTAGCCCAGACTGGCCCCCGATCCTTATATACAGCTACAAATGACCTTGACCTCCTACCTCAACTCTGCAAGTGCTGGGATTACAGACATGCCCCACTGCGCCTGGCTTCTAGCCCAGCTCTTGCAAACATGATCCTCACATGATGAAAACCTCCCAGGCCAAATCGCTTCCCCCACTCTCTGCCCTGCATCTGTGTGCATGCTCTTACACAACTCCACAATGCCCCGGATACCTGCTTGAACTTCGGGGCTATACAAAGGCAGGGTTTCCTATCACATTCCTCCTGGGCCTTTCTGAAGGGGGCTTCTCCTATGCAGTACCATAGAAACCTACATCGAGTGAGTCATTTATAGCACTTGACAGCAGTGCCTGAGCTATGTGCCTCTCTATCTCGTCCCACAGTGAAGAGAGTGCTAGTTTCAGAGCAGTGAAAGGCTGAGGAAACATGTAGGGGGGAGGAGCTAGAAATGTGAAGTCTTTTTTTTTTTTTTCCCTTTGGTTTTTCGAGACAGGGTTTCTCTGTGTAGCTTTGCGCCTTTCCTGGAACTCACTCTGTAGCCCAGGCTGGCCTCGAACTCACAGAGATCCACCTGGCTCTGCATCCTGAGTGCTGGGATTAAAGGTGTGCACCGCCACTGCCCGGCGAAAATGTGAAGTCTTTACCTGGCCTGCAAAGGGTTAATATTTCTTGTCCTTCTGATTCTTCTAATCAAATTGTAATCATTATTGTCCTTCTGTCAAATGGTAATAACTTCTGTGGCAACTCATCCTTTGTGCCCCTCTCTCTCATCCTCAGAGTGTATGTACAGATGGAAGCATCTTTCTCTTTTCAATGTGTTGACATTAACCTTGTAGTGTGCGAGACAAAGATCTTTTAGACTGTGGGTTGATGAACTTTTTCTGTAAAAGGCCATATAGTGTGTTTCCTGACAGGCTTTTTTAAAAGTTGGCTTCATAGCCCCTTTAAAATATAATGACACTTTTAAATTCACAGGGTCTGGCCTCCAGCCAGCTTTAGAGTCTGAAGTCGGTTTGGGTATTATCATAGAACCATCCCCAACCTGTCTCACTCTGCTTGTCTTACAGTGACACCATCTTTGTGAGTTTGGTGGGAGTGTGGACTTCTGGCCTCTAGGACAGATGGGCAGATTCCTTTTCCCTCTTCCTAGCTTCTAAGACTTCCAGTTTGCTCTTACAGCCTGGCCCTTCCTTTCCCCCTCCTGCTGTAGGGAACCATCTAACTGTTGAGAACACTAGCCTTCTTTGCTGGCATTTATTTTGAAGTAGAAAAAAAAAAAAACAGGAGCAACCAAATATTACTATTATTGGCAGATTTCTCCTTTTATGGACAGTCCACTCCATAAGAGATTCTTGCATTGCTCCTCTTTAGAAGATTTGAACCTCAATTAAATGTGTCTTTGAAATTAAGTTTTATCCTCCCTATGAGTCTCGTGACATACTAGAATTTTAACACCCTTTGGTGACACTGAGAGGAAACATAAGCTGGGAACATAAGAATATGTCTGTTTCTTTACTAGCTTATCAAGACAGTCCCTAATGATGACTACGCCTCAATATATATCTTTGAGGGCTGGAGAGATGGCTTAACAGTTAGGAGCTCTGAATGCTCATCCAGAGCATCTGGGTTTAGTTCCCAGCACCCACATGGTGGCTAACAACTGTCTGTAACTCCAGTTCCAGGGGGATCCAACACCATCATCCTCTAGCCTCCAAGAGCACCAAGTACACACATAGTACACAGACATGCATGCAAACAAAATAGCCCCGAGCATAAATTAAAAATTTTTAAACATGTTTCCTTAATAAATAAAGAAGAAATGTGGATGATGAATCAGCTAAGTGTTAGCTAATGAGATAATATGGCAGTCTGGAGGGGTCATGTCAGTATTAAAGTACTTGCCTAGCATGTGTGAGGCCCTGGCTTTAAGCCCCAGTACCAAGAAAAAAAGAAAGCTATGGTTCAAGAGAGACAGGAAAAGAAAAAGATGGTATAAATGGTTTCTTAGAAAATGAAGGCATCAGTGATAATTAGCTTTTCTGGCATATACAGGGGTTTGGCTAACATGTCACCGTTTGTACGCTGACTGCAGAAAATGTGCTCTGATGATATAAGATGCAGATACGACAAGCTGTGTGTGAGGGGCATAAAATATGGTCATTCTGTTTCACGCTCAGTTCTTTAACAAAAACTCAGAAACCTTTCTCCAAAGCTTACTCATTTCCCCAAATCAGCCTAACGCTCTCACCTTGTTAGGGCTGCCGTAACGGGGAACCAAAGGCTGGGTGCCTTGCACGGGGGAGCTGTTAGCCTAACTGTTCTGGAGGCTGACATGTCGAGATCAGGGTAGTTCCTCCTGAGCACGATGAGAGGACTAGTCCACACCTCCACCTCCACCTCCCCACTTGCCTTGTGGAGAGCCGTCTCCCTACGTCTCTTCCTCCAGCCTCCCCTCTATGCGTGCCTCAGTGTCCACAGGCTTTTTTTTTTCTGGGGACACCTGCTATGTTGGAGTAGGGCCCACGCAGATGCAGCCCCTTTAACTTTGCTCCAGAGAAGACCACCTGCTCAGCCCCTGGGGGTTAGGACTTCAGTGCGAGGGACAGAGCTCTACCTACGACCCCGACCGACCGCGCATCCCCTCGGGTGATGCCTGAAGTTTGTCCGGGTTCGGCCCCAATGCCACCTCTCTCTTTTTTCCCCGCCTTTATGTGTGGTCGTCTTTGTGCTTCCACAGTGACAGCCAGCAGCTGCAGCTTCTGTACCTGGAATGCATCCTCTCCGTGCTCAGCAGCTCCTCCTCCTCCATGTACCTGCACCGGGGCTTCACTGACCTCATCTGGTGAGAGCATTAAACTCCTGATGCCCCCATGCCAGCCAAGGACTGCTGTAGCTGTGTCTCGGTCCCATTCCATAGTACCCATGACCTAGAGATAGTTTCATCTATGTGCGTGTGTCCTCCAGGTAGGAGAATGGCTTTATTTATGTACATCAGCCCCAATTCCAAAGAGAAACTAGTGGTTAATATAACAAATGTGCTTCCAGCAGCCCTCTTAGGCCATTTACATCAATGAGATCATAAGAGACCAGACCAACTGACTTCTGGGTTCCCAGTTTGCTCTAAAAAGCATATAAATATATCAGGAATATACATGGAGTAAGAAATTCTAACCCTGAACTTATCTCTAGCTCCACAAGAGTGCTAATTGCCTACTCATGTCCAGAGATTTCAGGAAGTGAAGGCCCCGCAGGCAGCCAATCAGTAGGCCCTAGACCCCATTTTACTGACAGGGAGGAAGCTGAGTGATGGGTGTCAGTATGGGATTTGAAACTAACACCTTAAATGAGAAACGATTCAGTTATCCATAGTAAAATGAAACTTGATGAGGAAGTCTTTTAGCATTCTGAGCTGTATCTGTTCACACACACACACACACACACACACACACACACACACACAGCTGGTCCTTGAATGCTTCTCTTGACGCTTTATCTAGCTAACACTAACATGAGAAGGGAGGAAGACTGGGTATACTGGATGTATATCATAGGCAAAAGAAGGGAAGAGTAGGGACCCGTGCTCTTCCTGGATATTTCTATGGCAACTATTTGTCTTCCTGGTGGTGTTCACACTTTATCACTCGGCTTTCAGTAAGGCTTATTTATCCTCCTGCCTCTTCCCAGGAAAAGCCTCTGCCCTGCTCTCGTTGTGATCCTGGGGAACCCCATTCATGACAAAACCATCACCTCTGCTCACAGCACCGGCACCAGCACCAACATGGAGTCGGACTCTGCCTCTCCTGGTGTGTCTGACCACGGCCGAGGCTCAGGCTGCTCTTGCACTGCGCCTACCCTCAGCGGACCTGTGGCCCGCACCATCTACTACCTTGCAGCTGAGCTCGTCCGCTTAGTGGGGTCCGTGGATTCCATGAAGCCCGTGCTCCAGTCCCTCTATCACCGTGTGCTCCTGTATCCCCCACCCCAGCACCGTGTGGAAGCCATCAAGATCATGAAAGAGGTAGGGAGGTGTGGGCGAATGCCTTGGGGTTGCCCGCGGGAATCTCTATGCAGGGTCCTACATGTAGGAGCATCTAAACTGTCATCCCTTGTTAGGGCATCATTACTTCCACATGACATCCAGTAACAAACAGTTCTGAAGTTGGTGGGCATCTATTTGGGAGTTGTGGTTAAAAAGAAAAGAAAAGAAAATGTTAGAGACATTCATTGGCTCCAAACTCTTTGGTGATTAGCTATGTGTGTGTTAAAACTCTGATAGATGCACACCTGAGATTCATCTTAATGATATGGGTTCCCTCTGACATTTAACCCAAGGTGCTTCCCCAGGGCACTGTTCAGAGGCAACACTAGGTGAGATGCCTCCAAGTTGTGGGTGAGACCAGTGCTGCCCTGGGAAGCCAAGCAGATGAATTCCAGCCGGGTTGTTCTGAAAATAATGCCTCTGCTTATAAGACAAAACTGGCAAGTTGGAAAAGTTGGTTACCTAGATACCAAAACCTGCAGGGCTTTGCACACAAAACGCTCAGTACCCAGGATGTTTGCTTGCCTTTTTGTGTATTATTCCCTTGTGTCCCTGTGCCATATAGACAGTGTGCCTATTTGTCAAAGACACAAAGGACATTATGTTTCTTACCATATGTTCTCTTTCTGGCTCTATCTCCTGCCCAATAATAGGTGTAAAAAAGTAAAGTTCCTTCCTTTGGTCTACCCTGTGGTGGTACTTTAGAGGTCCATAGTGGTCAGAGCTAGGACACCAACCACAGATGCTGTAGCTCTTATGCCCATCTTGAGATTTTAAAAGCTGGAGGTATGGTTCAGTGATACAGTACTTGGTTAGCAAAAAAAAAAAAAGGCACTGGGCAATGGGGGGTGGGAGAGATGAGGGGGTCTCTAGGACTATAATTCAGTAGTAGTCTTTGCCTAGCATGTACAAGGCTCTGAGGTTTGGTCTCCAATACTACAGGAAGATAAAAAGGTTTTACCTTTTTTGGTGTGTTTGTTGAAGGTCTTTGAGAAGCTTACTCCCTCTGTCCCCTTCCCCTCCCGATTCTGGAGCAATCAACAAGTGCCTGACAAATTTAGGCATTCAAATACATTATCTAAGTTGAATTGGAGGACAAGGTGGGCTTTCAAGAGAAATGAGGTTTCAGAGCCCTATCCCTTGGACACTGGTATAACTTAGTGTTACAGGACATCTGAGCATGCATGAGGCTCCTTACCGAACACCAAAGAAAAACGAAATCCCCATCCCTCGGAGATGCAGTCACCCATCAAGAAAAGGTGGAACAAAGAGAAGAGGTCTCCTGGAGATGCAACTGTTTCTGAGTAATATTCCTGCTCATACTTACGTATATACCTCGCTCTGGAAATAGAGGGTCATAGCAATGGGATCTACATTCTACAGAACTTCATTAACCATTCTTTAGTGTAACCTCTAAATGACATTTTCTGTAAAGATGTGCAGCATATGGAAATATAAATCGGTTAGAACGGAATGATTACAAGAATGTTACATATGAAAACTTGTGAGAAGGCAACCCCGTACAGTTGGCTAGAGACGCAACTACATATTGAAAGTAGAACACCTAAGAATGAACATCCCAATTCTCCAACCCTGAGGGTTGGAAAAACGGAGCAGAATAAAGTGGAAGTGGCGAAAAGGAGAGAAAGTAAAGGATAAAACAGAAAGTAGTGTGGGAAAAAGCCACACTAGGCAGCTAGGTCATGGTAAGCTGGGAACCTCTCCTTATAACCCAGGCTCAACAAATGGGAGGAAGTGGTAGACGGGCTGTCCCCGCCCCTGTAGGGAAGGTGGTGACTCTGGGTTGTAACAACAATCAAAGACTTTGTTGTTGTTGTTGTTTTTCAAGACACAGTTTCGCTGTGTAGTTTTGGTGCCTGTCCTGGCCTCGAACTCACAGAGATCTGCCAGGCTCTGCCTCCCGAGTGCTGAGATTAAAGGCGTGCGCCACCGCTGCCCGGCACCAAAGACTTTAAAACAACTTTCGAATAATTGTTTCCAGCAGTATCTCCTGGCTGGAAGAGCAGACAATGGGATTCGTGCTCTGGAAGGCTCCAAGATTATGAATTCTGAGTCTTTTGGTGACAGTTGAATGTGGAGAGCTCAATAAAGGGGAAGAGAGACTTTGGTAGTTGACAGTGGCCTTGGTGATGCATAAAAAGGACATGGATTTTCCCACGGTGGAAAGGGCAGAACAGAGTAATTCTCTTTGATCTGGAACTTGTGCCTGGAGGGATGGCTCCATTGTTTAAGAGCCCACACTTCTCTGTCAGAGATCGGTTCCCAGCACTCATGTCAAGCAGCTCACGCTTGCCTGTGACTCCAGCTCCAGTTGGGTCTGAATCTGTTGCCCAATTCTGAATCCAATGAGCACCTGTACTCACATGTCCACACATCCTCAGAAACACACACACACACACACACACACACACACACACACACACACACACACACTCAAATGAAATAAAAATCTGTAAAACTTACAGCTCATGTAACCCTTGTAGCATTCCCAAATGCTGCTCGGCCAGGTTTCTCAGGTAAAATCACAATTTCAGGTTATGTGTTGTAATTATAACTGCTGGGTGTAGATACATTACATATGACAATTTCAAACTGATATCAGCACTTATGAACAGGGAATGGGCCACAGACTCCTTAAGCATAAAGAAAGAACCAGATAACCACTTTTTGTTGTTTCTGGACCTCAGCTTTCTCCCCACACTCAGTGCCTTTGAACCTGTGCAGAAGTGTCAGAAGCGTACCAAGAGGAGCATCCTGCAAACAGAACCTGCCCTCCTGGGAGTTAATCATGTCGATCTGCCAGATACCCAAGGAAAGTTTCATGAATTGATGTAGCAACTCCATATTCCTCCAATAACTTTCTGTAGAACTATCCACATTACCTCACCTTATTGACCCCATCCCTGCAAAAGAGAATGAATATCTTATTACTTGTAGTTGTATTTTCTGCATTTATTTGAAAAAAAAGGGAAAAAAAAAAGCATGACTTCCAAAGAAGAATAAGGAGTCTCAACATATCATCCCCATCTCTGCAGCTCTCTCTGAAGGAACTGCAGAACCAAAGAACTGTAAGAAAATCACTGGAAGAACACATCAACCAGGAAATTGGTGGCCCATCGCCTACCAGGGGCTGCTTGACTTACAGTCATTTCAAATAGTGTCATCTCCAATGTACTGTCACAGCATGCAGTGACTGGGGCCTCAGAGGACATAAATTAAATCTAGTCAAAATAGTATTGATGGAATAATGATTTATTCTAAGAAAGAAGGAAAGTGTATCCTTGGCAACAACATGGATGAATTAGACTGAGAAATAAGCTAGGTACAGGAAGTACCACTTGATCCCATTTATATGTAGATTCTACAAATCCCGAATGCAGAAAAGAGAATGGTGGTCACCGGGGATGCAGTGATGGAAGGTGGAGAGATGCAGGCTAAGTGACTTGGAGCAAAGAAGGTCTAGAGAGCCATTGTACAGCCTGGTGACTATAGTTATAACAGTGCATTTTATTTTGTAGCTTCCTAGTATCTTGTAGCTTCGGGTTCACTTTATTAAAATGTACAGTTAACATCATTAGTCTGAAGTGCAGAAGTTTCTTCAGTACTACCATAATGCCACAAGTAGAAAATATCATGCTACAAAGCCCTCATGCCCCGAAGTTTTAAAAATATCGTGTAACATTACCTTCAGGCTAAGACTACAAGGTGTATGTGAAATGAATTTGCTGTTTAACTTGGGTCCTGTATTAGTTACTGCTCGATTGCTGTGATAAAACACCATGACCAGGAAAACTTACAGAAGAAAAAGTTATTCGGACTTAACAGGGTAAGAGTCCATCATGGAGGGGATTGGGGCAGTAGACAGAAGTCACAGTGTCAGGAAGAGCTGAAAGGTCACAGCTCAGACTGCAGGCAGGAAGGGGCAGGGTACCGGGGATGAGACATCACTTTTGCAACACCCACCCCCAGTGACATACTTCCTCCAGCAAGACCACCCCTTCTAAACCTACCTAAACAGTGCCACCATTTGGAACTAAGAGTCTAAATGCCCAAGACCATGGATAAGCTCTCATTCAAACGTGACATGACAACCACAGGAATCACCCTGAAAATACCTCATTGCAGATATACGATTAAAAAATAAAAATAAAATCCCAAGTCAGAGAGTCTTCTGATTCTAAGCATTTTCAAGAAAAGCTCCTCAACCTAGAAATCATTTCTCCTGATTTATGTCCTTCACTAAAGAAACGCACATTGTTTATATGCTCTCATGATTTTAAAACTTGGTGTAATTCAGGTTTTGATTTTCATGATACTCACTTTTCTGTTCTTTTTCTCCTTTTTCCTGAAGATACTTGGAAGCCCACAGCGTCTGTATGACTTGGCAGGACCAAGCTCTACTGAGTCAGAACCAAGGAAAAGATCCATTTCCAAAAGAAAGTCTCACTTGGATCTTCTCAAACTGTATGTTCATTTTCCTTTTGGGTCCACTGGCCAACACTCAGTATTTATTGAGGGCATGTGGGAACTTAGCTTGGAATTTTTCCCACCCCGAGCATGTTTGTGTCATTTATTGTCTAGATCCCTTGATGTTATAGAAGTTAGACTATCTCTTGAATACTGTGCAGCTGGCCAAGCCAATAACTCATATATATTTGGAGGAATTTCTTGATCTTTCACGTCTGGGTGCTATTTTCTATCTTGAAGTACCCAACTTCTCTGAACACTTTCCCTCTTAACCCCAAATTCATGATATTTTGATGAGTCCACATTAAATGAAATGTACATACTTCATTATTTACCCACAAGCCACATAAAACATCTCAATTTATAGTACTCACAACTTGCCAGGTTGGCTTAAAACTGAATCTACACAAGAAACATACAAAAATTATGCAACGGAATTATTTAAGGGAAGAACTTTTCAGTTTACAGTATGAGCTGTAGCATTCTATTATGGTAGCCTCCATAGAAAACTTAATATTCTGTGGTCTGCAATAATCACATTGGCATATACCTGGTAAGAATATGTTGGCATAAAAATGTCTTCATGACTCTTAGCCACAGCAACTGTCCTATTTGAAGGTCAGAACATAATACGAAAATAAAATTTGCAGTGTCTGTTCTTGAATAAAATGATACATTTCCTTCTGGATTTTCAGTTGTACCCAGTAAAGCTAGTCAACCAAGAGGAGTATGGTCTTAGGTGGGGGATTTTACCTGGAGTCTTTCCCTGCCGGAGCATGTTTGTGTTATGTATTATCTAGACCCTTGATGTTATGCAAGTTAGACTATTTCTTTGCAATACTGTGCAACTGGCCAGGCTGATAACGCTTGTATATTTAGGGGCGTTTCTTGATCTTTCATGCCTGGGTGCCGTTTTCTATCTTGAACACTGTTTAGCATCATGGATGGTATGACGGAGGCTTGCGTCAAAGGTGGCATTGAAGCCTGTTACGCTGCTGTGTCCTGCGTCTGCACCTTGCTGGGGGCCCTGGATGAACTGAGCCAGGGGAAGGGCTTGAATGAGAGTCAGGTACAGCTGCTGCTTCTGCGCCTCGAAGAGCTGAGGGATGGGGCCGAGTCAAGCCGCGACTCCATGGAGATCAATGAGGCTGACTTCCGCTGGCAGCGGCGAGTGCTGTCTTCAGAGCACACGCCGTGGGAGTCAGGCCATGAGAGGAGCCCAGACATCAGCATCAGTGTCACCACAGACACTGGCCAGACCACCTTGGAGGGGGAATTGGGTCAGACAACACCTGAGGACCACAAGAACGGGCTCAAGTCACCAGCCATTCAGGAAAGCAAGGAGACCATGAGCAAAGTGTCCGAACCTGAGGCCATCGACCAGCCCGACGTAGTTCAGAGAAGCCACACAGTCCCTTACCCTGACATCACTAACTTCCTGTCAGTAGACTGCAGGACAAGGTCCTATGGATCCAGGTACAGTGAGAGCAACTTCAGTGTAGACGACCAAGACCTGTCGAGGACAGAATTTGACTCCTGTGATCAGTATTCCATGGCAGCAGAAAAGGACTCCGGTAGGTCTGACGTGTCGGACATTGGGTCGGACAACTGTTCACTGGCTGATGAAGAGCAGACCCCTCGGGACTACATGGGCCATCGGTCCCTGCGAACGGCCGCTCTGTCTCTCAAGCTGCTGAAGAACCAGGAGGCTGACCAGCACAGTGCTCGGCTGTTTGTACAGTCCCTCGAGGGCCTCCTTCCCCGGCTCCTAGCCCTGTCCAGTGTGGAAGAGGTGGACTCGGCCCTGCAGAACTTTGCCTCCACTTTCTGCTCAGGTTTGTAGACTGTCTTTTGCTGTATAGGCAACAAGACCATTTAGAGCTTCGTGTCTTCATAGGCAATAATCTTCTTGCTTGTGGTCTTAAAGCAGTGGTTCTCAACCTTCCTGATGCTGGGACCCTTTAATACAGTTCCTCACGTTGTGGTGACCCCCAACCATACAATCATTTTTCTTGCTACTTCATAACTGTGATTTTGCTACTATTATAAATCGTAATGTAAATTATCTGATACGCAACCCCAAAGGGTTCATGACCCACAAGCTGAGGATGTTAGTGAACCCTAGGGTTTCCTCTGTTAAAGAGAGTAAAGGACTACTAGAAGACTTGTGGGTGGAGGTTTATGATGCAGAATAAAGCTCCACAGCCTGGACTCTCTCTAACTGGCTGTCCTTGGTACCAAGGGAGATAGTCCATCAGTTATTGGTGGCCCAGAAGAGCTGTGTGTCAAAGCCCAGCACTGTTGCTGTTTGTGGTAATGATTGAGTCTCTGGAAAATGGGAAAGTTATATATACAGGCTTCTGTTGGAATTAATAATTATGCCATGGACCAGGGAGATGAGTTGGTCAGTAAAGACAACCTGAGTCATGAGCCAGATATCTGACTTTGCAATGTTTTTATTGTCACATATTAATTATATGTAGCGATGGGTTTCATTATAACATGGCATTTCCATACATGTATATAATGTGTTTGTATTATATCCACCCTTTCTTACCCTCTCTTATTTCCTTCCCACTGATCTCCTTCACCTCTAATCTTCTCCCACTTTCTTTTTCCTCTTTCTTTCCTCCCTTATTTCTTTCTCGTTGGTGGGGGTGGGGTGGGGATGGGTGAGAATGGTAATGACCCAGTGAATTTCCTTACGGTTGTGTATGAGGGAATGGGCGAAGCTTTGTTTACAGGATTATGGGCACCTTACCAATAGCCAGACCACTGAACAAGATTACCCTCTTTCCTGCCACCAGCCATTATATCAACCCTCAGGGAGGGGCGAGACCCCGTGAGCACTTCCCTTTCTATAACAGAACATTGGTAGCTCAGTCTGAGTTCAAGCCCTCAAGAGGTATGTTGTCTTAGGTTTCTACTGTTTTGATAAACTTGACTAAAATCAACCTCAGGAGAAAAAAGATGATTCTACCTCATAGCTACAGTCCTCCATGAAAGGAAGTCAGGGCAGGAACCCAAAGCAGAAACTGGGGCAGAAACCATGGGGGAGTACTACTTCCTGGCTTGCTTTTTTTTTTTTTTTTTTTGTTTTTTTTTTGTTTTTTTTGTTTTTCAAGACAGAGTTTCTCTGTGTAGCTTTGCGCCTTTCCTGGAACTCACTTGGTAGCCCAGGCTGGCCTTGAA